CCCCGCCTCCCTAATCTGTCCTTCCTCCCACCTATTCCCTCCTCCCACCTCAAGCCCCACCCCCATCTCCTACCTACTAACCTCATCCCGCCCCCTTGACCTGTCCGTCCTCCCTGGACTGACCTATCTCCTCCTTAACTCCCCACCTACACTCACCTTTACTGGCTCCATCCCCGCCTCTTTGACCTGTCTGTCTCCTCTCCACCTATCTTCTCCTCTATCCATCTTCTATTCGCCTCCCCCTCTCTTCCTATTTATTTCAGAACCCCCTTCCCCTCCCCCATTTCTGAAGAAGGGTCTCGGCCCGAAACGTCAACCTTCCTGCTCCTCTGATGCTGCTTGGCCTGCTGTGTTCATCCAGCTCTACACCATGTTATCTCAGATTCTCCAGCATCTGCAGTTCCTACTATCTCTGAAACAATATACCTCAGAGTCTGCTGGAGGCTGTTTGCATTGACTGGTAACTTCGGAATTCATCAAGATACCATCCTATGTGTCTATAATATAACACATTGTTCAAGGATTGCTTAAAGACCTGATACTCATCATTGAAACCGTTCTAGGACTGGCAAATTACAACCCTTATTTTCTTTTTGATTTATCCCTTAACTGTGTCTCCCTGTCTGTGAGAAGATCGGGTTTAAATGATAGACCTAATTAGATTATCGTGTATAGCTTTGCTCTGCTAAAGTTAAAGTATTATTAATAAGTTGTTAATTTCTGTTTAAGTTATGAACTTGGTGTCTGATATCTGATACTCATAAAATCAGGATAGGAACAATTGGTCAATTTTTAGGATCATTTCATGCTTTAACTTCACTGTGTTGCAAATCTAGTTTTTGGAGTCCAATTGGGTCTGGCTAGCTATCTCTGTATCGTAATGTGCTGAATCCTAGAGGTGTGAATTAAAAGTTGACCAAAAATCAGACTTATACATCATGCAAACAGAGCCTTCAGTCCAACTTGTCCATGCTGACCAGATATTCTAGATTAATCTAGTCCCATTCACCAGCATTTGACCCATATCCTTCTAAACCCTTCCTATTCAGTTACCCATCCAGATGCCTTTTAAATGTTGTAATTGTACCAGCCTCCACCGCTTCCTCTAACAGCTCATTCATGCGCCACCCTCTAAGTGAAAATGTTATCCCTTAGGTCCCTTTTAAATCTTTCTCCTCTCACCTTTAAACCTATGCCCGCTAGTTTTGGACTCCCCTAGCATGGGGAAAAGACCTTGGCTGTTCACCCTTTTCATGTCCCTAATGATTTTATAAACCTCTATAAGATAATCCCTCAGCCTCCAATGCTCTAGGAAAAATTGCCCCAGCCTATTCAACCTTTCCCTATAGCTCAAACTATCCAACCCTGGCAACATACTTGTAAATCTTTTCTGAACCTTTCAAGTTTCACAATATCCTTCCTTTAGCAGGGAGACCAAAATTGAACATAGTATCCCAAAAGTGGCCTAACCAATGTTCTGTACAGCCGCACATGACATTCCAACTCCTATACTCAATGCACTGACCAATAAAAGGGAAGCACACCAAGTCTGTACCCCAAGATGTCTTTATTCAGCAACACTCCCCAGGACCCTAATATTAAGTGTATAAGTCCTGCCCTGATTTGCTTTACCAAAATGCAGCACCTCACATTTATCTAAATTAAACTCCATCTGCCACTCCTCAGCCCATCTGATCAAGGCCTCAGTGTACTCTGAGATAACCTTCTTTACACTCTACTGCACCACCAATTTTAGTGTCATCTGCAAACCTACTAACCATACCTCCTATATTCACATCTAAATTATGAAAATGAGAAGAAGCAGTGGACCCAGCACTGATCCTTGCGGCAAACTGCTGGTCACAGGTCTCCAGTCCAAAAAACAACCTCCACCACAACCCTCTGTCCCCTACCTTCTAGCCAATTTTGTGTCCAAATGGCTAGTTCTCCCTATATTCTATGTGATCTAACCTTGCTAACCAGTCCATCATGCGGAACCTTGTTGAACACCCTGCTGAAGTCCATATAGACAATGTCCCCCGCTCTACCTTCATCAATCTTCCTTGTCACGTCTTCAAAAAAACTCCATCATCTGGCAACTTTCAACCAACGCAAGTCAGTCTGAGGCCATCCAGGATAAGAAGTTAACAACAAGCTTTTTGCAATATTGTTTCAATGTATATGACCTAAGTTACTGTACTTCAAGGATCAGTTTTGATGTTCAACATTTAAGCAGAAATGAAGCTTATTTCTCTCGACATCGAGATTACTATAACTTTGTACTCACTGCAGATACGCTGTTTATTAGGCTTTCTCATGCAATGTTAAGATAAATGTACAACTGTTGGTTTATTGGCCTGATTCCTGGTTTGCTACAGAATATATCCTTCCTCCGAGAAAGGATGAAGATACTACATGGCACCATCTGATACAAAAGTCAACCACATCAAAACCTTCTGACTGATGCCCAGGATTGGTCATATATACCCAGATATTGTTTAATTAAAATCTGACTCTATTTTGCAGAGGCCAGCAGATCTGCTTTCAGTAGTTACTGGTGACCCTGAACTCAAATAAAGTACCTAGCATAAAAATTTTAAAAAATTAATAGCCTTTTAAACAAAATCCTAAATTTCTATAAGTTTAAATGCTTGAATTATTTAGCTTCTAACGTTGTTAAAAATGTAACTATTCAAACATTACAATTAGCGAAATGTAGTGCAGTGATGGTTTATAAATTTAAAAAAATCTGGTAATAAGCAGCTTTATGTATTTTCTGGTAAAATGAATTGAATGTTTTGAAGTTTTTTTTAGTAACTACTTAGTAGACAACACTATTTATCATTGAACTTTCAAAATGATAAATTCCATTGAAGTGGCTTGATATTTTCTCTAAAATATGAATTCCATTCTAACTGTGTAATTCTTCCCCCATAAAAAGTTAAAAAATGCTTGATAAACTGTTAACGTAAAAAGCAACAAGATTTTAATAAAGCTTTTGAGTTTAATTTTGCACAGAGGAAAATAAAGTCATACATCCAAATCTGATTAGTAGCATTAAGTGGGTGAAACTGAAGTGTGCAATTATAACACGGTGGAAAAAAAACGCAATAAAGTCTAGATGTCTACTTTGTAAATAGAATGCAAGATTGTATTCAGTAAATTTTTTTTGTGTACTCAAAGGATCTCCTCCAAACTTTTGACAAGTTGAATTCCTTCCATAAGCTTAAAAGTGCGATCTTAGTTTTCTACATCTGAATAGGCAACCAGGTCTGACAATAGTGGCCAACATCAAATTAGTTTTCAAGATCATAGAATCCCTACAGTGTGGAAACAGGCCCTTCGGCCTAACAAGTCCACACTAACCCTCAGAGCATCCTACCCGGACCCATTCCCCATAACCCACCTAATCTGCACATCCTGAACACTATGGGTAATTTAGCATGGCCAATCCACCTAGCCTGTACATCTTTGGACTGTGGGAGGAAACCGGAGCACCTGGAAGAAACCCACGCAGACATAGGGAGAACGTGCAAACTCCACACAGTCGCCCAAGGGTGGAATTGAACCCGGGTCCCTGGCACTGTGAGGCAGCAGTGCTAACTAGCTTAAATGCAGAGTGATTCTGCATCAGGTTCTTCTGGAATTTCTCATAGCATACAATAAGAAAAACATTTCTACAGCAGCACTTCCCAAAACCTTTTCCCCTTTACAGCTCTGTTTTTATGCTTGAAAATTGCCATGACTGGATGGTGATTGAGGGTAGACCTGTCAGTGCGGCAAGAGGGAAGCAGTGGGTCATACTGGAGGGGGAGGAGGGTTGGAGTAGAATATTTGCAGGGTAAATCATCTACTTTTCACAGATGTTTTCGGAACAAGAATCAGGTTTCAATCAGTCAGTTAAACCATGGCCATTATTTTAAAAATGTGATGATTTAAAGGGGTACACAACCGTTAGCTCTTGATCTGAGCTCTACAGCAGCCATTGCTGCCGTGGAGCTTGTGACCCCCGGAATTTCAGCTGGAAACTGACAGTTTTGGGAGCCCCATTCTGGAGCCTGGAAAATATAATTTTGCTTTTCATTTTACTGCCCAAGCATCGCTATGCAAAATGGCCAAGTTGTACATTACTGGCATCCATGCATTTCACACTTTGATTGCAGTCAAAAAAAAACTCAAACTCATTTAATACCACAAGTTCAGAAATTATGAAACAATCAGCCAGAATCCAAGAAAAGAATGTGAAAATAAGGCTTTAAAGAAACAACTCATTTTTAAACAGTTAAACAACATACAAAATGCTAAACTGAGTTCTAGCGAAATAGCATCTACCAAAATGTCAAACCTGTTTCTTTCTCCACAGATGCTGCATGATCAGCTGTGTTCTAGATTTTTTTTGGTTTTGTTTCAGATTTCCAGCAACCTGGAGGGCTTTGTTTTTTTTTATAAATTAAAGAATAATTGACTGTTGTTCGGAACCGGTACAAATACAGAGTTAATTTCTCAGCGACATTTGACCATGTAAATTAAAACTGATCAACTGAATCAGTACATTAGGACATGCCAAATTAACATTAGAATGTACAGATGTGAACTTGGTAGAAGAAAATTATAGCAACTTGAGTCAAGCTAGCCTGTAACAACAAGGTTTGTGCAGATGCACAGATGTATTAATGTACAAGAGGACAGAATAGTAGGATATGTGTGGATGCCAAGTGCATACCTAAATCCACCTGTGCTGTCAGAATGAAATAATTTCTGAAAAACAGGTTAAAATTTTAGAAGTCAAAAACGATAAAACTCTTTCACACATCTTTGTGGATTGTTAATACAGTGGTATTAGCAGAGTGTCCACAGAAAGTTACATGTCTATCAGCTACTTGAAGGCCAGATGAAAATAAATAATTTAAATATTAAGAAATAATCTACATTGCTAGTAGTAAAAGGAAAATCACAGTAAGCAGTCTTTTTCTTTGTTACAAGTTTAGTCAGGTACTAACCCGTATATGCAGGATATGTCAAATACAACATCTATCATGTCACAGCAGAGTTCATAAGTCTGCATGTCTACTGGTATACTGTCTGTTGCAATGTAGATTTTGCTGACTACATCAAAGAGGAAGGCTTTTTCAATTCCTGAATTCTGTAATAAACAAAACACTGTCAAACGTAAAAATGGCAAAGACATTAGTGTGGTGTTGATAGTGAAGGGTGAATTAAATGTGTTAATGCAATCCCAGGTATTTAAAAAAATGTGAACAACTGGTGCATCCAAAAGCACACAACAGGAGCAGAAAATTGACAAGGCAACTGAGGTGTTTCCTTTTTTTTAACTGCAGTGCTACCTTGTGATTTTTATTGTTAATGTCAAAAGCGTAGCATTAAGTTTTGGAGTTGAGGTAGAATTTTTATATCGTTTTGCTTTACAGTTTTGCAATAAAAATTAGGTTGAGATGAAATCAACATTATTGGTGCACTGTTTAAATGCAACTCCACATTGATGCTGACTAAACTGTTACTTCTAGTATTTTCTGTTTTAATTTAACAGTTGCAGTATTTTCTTTACTTATCAATTTCAACTGAAAATATGTCAGGCTTGTGATATTTCAGACTTGAAAATATGTCAACCAACTGCCTAATGTTGCCAGTTGGGAAAATGCTTGAGTTATAAAGGGTACTGGACAGCAGAAAAATAATGATAGGGTTGGGCAGAAGTAACATCAATTTATGAAAAGGAAATTATGTTTTACAAACCTGATAATGCCTTTTAAGGATGTAACTAGCAGAATAGATGAGGGAAACAAATGGATGCGGCATCTTTGGATTTTCCGAAGGCTTCTAATAGGGTCCCACGCAGGAGGTTAGTTAGCAAAATGACAGCACATCGAATTGGGTAATATACTGGCATTTCAGCATTGGTTAAAAGACAGAAAAACAGAAACTAGGAATAAATAAATCATTCTAAGGTTGACAGGTTGTGACAATTTGGTACCACAGCGATCAGTGCTCGGACCACAGCTATTTACAATCTATATCAACGATATGAATGTGGTAACTCGAATGTAATAGTTCCAAGTTTTCTGATGACTGATGGAGTGGATGTTCTTGAAGAGTGGATAGGTTTAAGTTTCGTCATCTGAAGATTTTTTTTAAATGCAGAAAGAGTTTAAAAGGAACAATCCTTCGCTGGGCTGTCATGATTGACAGATGTAGGTTAGAGAAAGTCACTCCCATCTGGTCACTAAATTTCAATAGAATTATTTGTTGATATTTTCCCCAGGGCTATTATTACAAATGCTCAGCTGAATCTCAAAGGTTAAACTCTCTCAGCAAGTAGTGCTGAGATCACAGTTTAATCAATAGTTTAAAGAAACCAATAAAGGATTATGCATCTTTAATTAAGGGTCTGAAGAGAAGTGGGTTTGTTTTTATACAGGAATGACCACTTGAGGAGACTTTAAATCTTTCAGTTGATTTTTAGATAGAAGTTTTTCTGTGATCCACTTTGTAGGAATGAAAGCTAAAAGTTTTCTTCATTTCCACACGTCTCCTGAGGTTTACTCACAGTAGATACTGGGAGGGTGATTATGTGAATGTGATGTGGCATGGGAATCCAGGGGGGCCATGCTTGGTGGCATGATGGCACCATGGTTTCATGATGGTATGTGAGGCCACATGGATTGGTGGCATCATCTGGTACAGAAGGGTAATGCGATCATGAGAAGCCATGTATATGGGAGGGGGGCATAAGTTGGCATGGACGTAACATGGGAGATGTGGGAAGGGTGAAGGATCGAAGGCCCAACAGCTTCCAGAAGAACTGGGTGAAGTCCCGGTAAACCAACACAAACCTTCCTCACAGATCACCTTGGTGTTTGCCAGCAGCTCTGGCCATCTTGAAATTGCTTCCAGGGTTGACAAACCTGACTCTATCTTGTTCCACCTCTCCAAGACGAGATTTTGATCAAAAGGGATCCATTAAACTGGGGGTGGTCTGCCAAGTCAAGAAATTACTCGACTTGAGCTACACGCCTCAGTAGCAAAAATCTGATCTTAGATGTTTGCATCTTTCCACAAATTTGTGATGATATAGGTACTGTAAAGCAAGATAGATTTGTTGATCTGAGCACAATAAATTGAGTGTACTACCAGATACAAATTGTTCTGTCCTAAATTCTTCCTATTATTTTCCCCATAACAAAAGAGACTTGGATCTACAATATTTTCTGCAGTTGTTACTTACTTCAACTGAAATTCTAGGAGCCAAACATTATATATAAGACAACAGGCCTAAGTTAAAAATAACCTGACGCAGCATTGAATGCACCACAAAAAAAGGTCCAGCATACTTCTGCTCAAAAAAAGGCAATATAAAGCGTATTTGTAGTGAGACAATGCACCTGAGTTGCAACACATAATTGATTCAATATTGCTGTTGAAAATATGAGAGAGATATAATAAAATGTAAAATAATGGCCATAAAGGGGACTGATTAGGTTTGTTAAGCACTTCAGATGTACTTCCATCTTTATACTGTCTGTTAGCAATATTCAATTTCTTTTCAATTAATATGATCAGATTAATGTATGCTTGTAGAACTGATATGAGTGTATTCCTTTAAGAATAAACTAAAATGTTTTTAGAAACATACCAAGCAGCAATACTTATTAAACAGAACTTACTGAAATGAAGATGTTTAGAAGATTCTCTAAAGTCGGAAGCTGAGGAATCAGTTTCTGCACCACTTTACTAAATGCTTCAAATATTGAATGGTCATAAATACTCGTCAAATAGAAACTGTAAAAGAAAATAATGCAAAACTTTTTAAAACTATTTTGAACAATTATTGGTTATCTCTTAGTAAATCTAAATTATGATTTGCTGAGATTTTTTTTAATATTTTATCATGGAAAGTGAGCACTGCTGACAGGGACATAATCCTTGATTCTCCTACAGATCAAGCATCTTTCTATCTCAGCCTTAAATATACACCTTCCATTATTTTGTTGATGATTGAAAGGAGACCAATGAAGTGGTAATTGGCTTAATTGGATTTGACCTAGTGTTTGTGAACAGGACATACTTGTGCAATTTCACAAATTGTCAGGTAGGTGCCAGGGTTGTATGTATCGTACAACAGCTTGGCTACCAATATGGCTAGTTTTGGAGCACACATCTGCAATACTATAGCTAGGAATGTTTTCAGAGCCTGTAAACTTTTCTATATACAGTCCTTTCAACCATTTCTTGAAGTCATGTGGATTGAATTTACTTGGCTGAAGACTGCGATATGTTATACATTTGGGGACCTCAGAAGGAAGCCGAGACAGGTCATCCACTTGGCAATCTGGCTGTTTAATGCAAATGTTTCAACCTTCTCTTGTGCACTGTTGTGCTATTTTCCCTTTCAGTAAGGATGAGCATATATGTAGAGACCCCTGTCCCCCTGTTAGGTGTCAACTACCATTCACAGCTGACTATGACAGAATTGCTGAGCTTTGGTCGGATCTGTCAGTCATGAGATTGCTTACCTCTATCACATGCTTATGTTGTTCAGCATGCAATTAGTCCTGTACTGCAGCTTCACCAGGTTGGTACCTCATTTTTAGGTATGAACCAAGGTTGATCCCTTGCCTTGACGGTAATCATAGAATGGGGGTCACACTGGGCCATGAGATTCTTCTTCAGTATCCTAATTTAATTTCCAGGAGCAATCATTATAGCTCGCCTCCTTCACTAGATAATACTTGTTAGTGCTTTCGGAATGAATAATGCTCTTGACCTTTGTGTGATGTATAGCAAATACATTCCAGTCAAATACACAAGCATGTACTAAATATACAGCCCAATATATTGATTTTTGTTGATGGCAAGTTGAAATTACATGCAAGGTTGGCAAGATGTACAAGGCTTGAAATACTGATCAGGACAGTAAATGAAAAAATAAGTTTCATTTATATCACATCTTGCACTTTACAGTCAAGTTAAGTATTTTCAAGCGTAGCTACTGTTGTAACGTTGGAAATACAGCAGCAATTTGTCCAACAAGCTTCCACAAAAATCAATGTGAAAATTACAATTATTGGCCTTTTACAAGATTAATTTTCATCTTTTGTGTCAGGATGCATGTAGAGTTACAAATGCATTGTAGCATAGTTATAGAAGCCATTTAATAATCAAAATCAGGAAGTATATTATGATCTGTTCTTACCTGAGGTGAATTTTTTCCAAGCCAGCATCTGCAAGATCATCATTTGCTCGTTGGTGAATATCTCTTTGTGTTTCTATCTTGTGATCATCAGATAAACCATCTACTTTATGGATGAAAACTTCAAAATTGATTTCCTTATTTACTTTGAATGCTCTGGAAACCGTGAGATGCAGTCTGGCCAAAGCCTCCATGTAATCGTCCTAGGTTTCATTAGACAAAAGAAACTCACCACATGTACTTTGGGCTAAACGTGGATTGAGACTCAAGTGCTTTTTCTTCTGTTTATACCATTTTTTCCAAATTTTTTGTGTTTTTTTTTGTTTTCTTTAATATCCAGAAGTCTGCTTACACACAACTTTTTTTGCCATCACAAAATCATGCTATTTTTGTTTCCTCTATTAATCACCACCAGTGATTCACATATGTTTTCCAATTGATTAATTTACCTGCAAAGTCCAGTGAACGGCAATGCAGACCTTCAAAGATGAGGGAGAGGGGAAGGACTTTTTTGATTTTAAATGTTATTAACTGGCCATGAAGGAGATAATGAGCCAATTGGCAAAATGAGGTGGTGGGTGGATGGCGGTGAGCTGACAGTTGAAACAACACAATTTTTGATCTCTGAAAGATTGCTAATCTCTGCTACACATGGTCAATAGTTCCTCTAACAAAGTAGGCTAAATCGTCAGTGCTAATGTTGAACAAAAATGTTCAAATATTTTAGCTCTTCAAAAGGAAGGTTTCTCATTGAGTTTTTTTTCCCTTCCTCCTTTGCCCATCAATTCTCTGCATGCTCTTCCCCATTCTCTTCGAGCATTTGCTTAGGTTTCACTGCCACTGGCTCCACAGGCCCTGCTCTTTTTCCAGCAACTCATCTAAGTTGCCCTTAATTATGTGAATTATGCAGAAGTCTCGAAAGTTAGTGTTGGCATGTCTTGATGATGCCTTACAGCCAAGCATCTCATCTGTTCTTAATCCTATTTGAGCCAAATGCAATTGCAAATTTAAAACAGCATTTTGCCAATCTGACTTCACTATAGTTTCTAAAAATGCATTATTAAAAAAAAGGAAATTGATAACCAACAAAATTAAAAGTCAAATCATAAAAAGAAACAAGGACAAATAAAGAATGGCGACCAGTGACACCCGTATCAGTGACAGAATAAATAAAGCACGCTGATAAGTTACAAGTTGTCTCTTATATACTTCTCTTATAGGAGTCACATTGGCTTACAAAATCTTCTCTGATAGCTAAGAATATCTGATCTATTCAGACCAGGAAGGTCTTCAGCCTAATTCCTACTAATATTCACTCTTTATGTGTAACTTCACGAACATCAATGAACACAGGGAAAAAAAATTCAATAAGCAGTACAAGTACAATACAGGTAATTGTACTTATCTGAATACTTTCACGGGTGAAATTATAGAGACACAAGAAGAGTTATCATATGCTTTGGTGATTCGCAATTAGCATTCTTTTCGGGCACACTAGAAGCTTTGGCCCAGGGAATACTGAAATGTGGGCAAGTGTGGCTCTGTAAGCAGAAGTGATGGGTCAGCGTGCACTGAATCAAAAGGTAAGCTTGTGATTTTAAATCAAATTTGTATCTTAGATTTAAGCACTGAGATGGGTGGGAAGTTGCAATGGAGGTTGTATCAAAACAATTTTATTTTTGCTGCTATAGGTTTACTTTTTTTAAAAAACTGATATTATTGTGCAGAAAATACTTTCATGTGGATAAGGGAAGATTTAATGCCATATGAAATTAGAACTAAAGCACAGGACTTATCAAATGAACAAGATAGACATTTAAAGGAACAAAATAACAAATGGTCACGACAGGCACGACTTTTAGTACAAACATTTCAATTGTAGTAAGTCAACCTCCAGTGGCATTGGTTGTGGCAAGTCACAAAGCAAGTTTCAGTTGAGATTTTTACTAATTATTCAAGTCTAAGTAACTTACAAATTTCCTCCCTAGGATCCATTCTAGTGATGCTCCCCTATCCTTTTGACACCTTCCATAAAACCAACTTTTACATTTGCCCAAACATTTTGTGACACTTACACTATGATCATCATCAGGCATACTCCTCCCTTTCTGTCTTTGTTTTCCTGATCAACTCCAAATATATCCCTGCCCACTCTAACACTTCTTGGTTAATATTATTTTTACTTTGCACTACTGCCTGATTTGCAATACTGTAACTCCCAGGCTGAGAGTTCTTTGTTCATGGAAAGTAACATTTCAAATTGTTTTTTGAAATCTAATACACTGATAAGGAGACAAAAGTTGTGCACAGAACTCCAGATGCAGTTTAACCAAGCTCTACACAATTGAAGCAAGACTTCATTATTGGTGCATCCAAACTTTGTTGCAAAAAAGTATAACATTCTAGTCGCCATCCTAATAGCATGCTCCACCTGCCTGAAAGCCTTTAGTGAGTGACTAACTGATAAGGACACGTGGGCCCCTTTGTACACCTGAACCTTTCAACCTCTTTTTAAAGTACTCTGCATATCTGTTTCTCCTACCAAAGTGGATAACTTCACACTTTTCTATGTCATACTCCATCTGCCATGTTCTTGTTCAGTCACCAAGTCTGTGCAAATCCTCCTGAAGCCACTTTACATCTTCCTCACAACACAGATTCTCATTTAGCTTTGTATCATTTGCAAATTTAGAAATATACGTTTGGTTCCAAGTTATATATCAACCATTTAGATTGTAAAAACCTAAGGACCAAGTACTGATCCTTGAAATACCCCATCAGTCACACCATGCCAACATGAGAATGACCCATTTACTCCTACTCGGTTTTCCATCTTATCCAAGCATTAAACCATGCCAGTTTAAACATTACAGCCAATCATATGTGCTTTTGCAATTTTCCTAACCATCCTCCTCTGGGGGACTTTATCAAAAGCCCTCTGAAAATCTAAGTATACTACATCAATCAGCTCCACTTTATAGATTTTGTTAGTAACATCTTCAAAAAAAATCAAGTTCCTCAAACGTGATTTCCGATTTGCAAATCAATGCTGACATTGCCCAATCAGATTCATTGTCAACCAGGTTTTAGCAAATTCTTTACTACTGATATAAGGGTAACAGGTTTGTTGGAATCATAGAGTCAGAGAGATGTACAGCACAGAAACAGACCCTTTGGTCCAACTCGTGTAGATATCCTAAATTAACCTAGTCCCATTTGCCAGCATTTGGCCCATATCCCTCTAAATCCTTCCTATTCATATACCCATCCAGATGCTTTTAAATGCTGTAACTGTACCAGCCTCCACTACTTCCTCTGGCAGTTCATTCCATACAGGCACCAACCTCTGCGTGAAAAAGTTTCCTCTTACATCCCTTTTAAATCTTTTCCCTCTTACCTTAAACCTATGCAGTCTAGCTTTGGACTACCCTACCCTGGGAAAAAGACCTTGACTATACACCTTATACATGCCCCTCATGATTTTATAAACCTCTATAAGGTCACCCCTCAGCCTCTGATGCACCAGGGAAAAATGCCCCAGCCTATTCATCCTCTACCTATAGCTCAAACCCTTCAACCCTGGCAACATCTTTGTAAATCTTTTCTGAACTCTTTCAAGTTTCAAAACATTTTCCTCTAGCAGGGACGAGAATTGAAGGCTATATTCCAAAAGTGGCCGAACCAATGTCCTGTACAGCTGCAACATGACCTCCTAACTCCTATACTCAATACACTGACTAATAAAGGCACAAACGTATCAAACGCCTTCTTCACTATGATGTCTACCTGCGACTCCACTTTCAAGGAATTATGAACCTGCACTCCAAGGTTTCTTTGTTAGGCAACACTCCCCAGGACCTTACCATTGAGTATATAAATCCTGCCCTGATTTGCCTTACCAAAGTGCAGCACCTCACATTGATCTACATTAAACTCCATCTGCCACTCCTCGGCCCATCGGATAAAGGTCTGATGTTCCCTGTTTCCCCTCTTGCTTCCATCGTAAATAGTGGCAGGACATTACTATCCTCCAATCATTTCAGAATCCATAGACTTTTGGAAGATAATCACCAATGCACTGACTCTCCATAGCCACCTCGTTCAACACTGTAGGATTTAGACTATCAGATCCTAGAGATTTGTCAACTTTCAGCCCTGTTAATTTATCCAGTGCATTCTCTTACTAATATTAATTTCCTTCAACTCCTCACTCTCTCTAGACATTTGGATCTCTAGTTCTTGGACATTTTTGGTATCTTCCTCATTGAAAACAGATACAATGTATCTATTTGTCTGCTACTTCTTTATTCCCAATTGTAAATTCTCATGATTCTGCTTATAATGAACCCATATTCGTTTTAGCCAAACATTTCCTTTTTAAATACCTACAGAAGCTTTAGCAGTCTTTTGATTTTTTTCTCTAGGTTGCATTAATATTTTACTCTCCCTTATTAGTTTTTTCAGTTCTCCATTGTTGTATTCTATAAACCACTCAATCCTTAGAATTACTGCTATATCTGGCAACTTTATGGGGCTTCTAATCATATACAATCCTGAACTTCCTTTTTTGACCAGGGTTGACTGACCTTTTTGCATTTTTACATCTTGAAGGAATATGTATAGTTGCTGTTTGTCATTTAGTAGTTATTTAAAGATTATCCATTGCCCAAATACAGTCTTGTCTTTTAATGCAGTTTCCCAATCAATGTAGAACATTTAAAGCTTCTGAAGAAAAGCATTTATTAAATGCTTGTAATGGGTTTTACTCCATTAGAGCCCATTCTTCAGGTGTCTCAAGAATTTTATGTCATTTACACCCTGGTAACTGCAACTAATCAAATTAGGGCTGGGGTTAATCCTTGATGGAAGATAATAAACATATGGTAAAAATATTCCATATCTGACATCTACTAAACGTTGCATAGTACTTGAATGTTGAATAGCAAGAATCAGTTCCTATAAAATCATCTGTAGCATGCAAATGTAAAGATTTAAGTATGTTACCTGAGCATCAATCACAAATATCAAGGCCCCAGTCCCTCTGAAGATCATCTCATAGTCAAATGTTGGATCAAAAAAATCAATCTGCCCAGGAAAATCCCAGATCTGAAAATTAACAAAAGAGCTGTTGGCGATATCATCCCGACAAATTTTGTTGGTACTTTCTAGGAAGAGCGTCTCATTAGGTGACATTTTGTGGAAGACAACTTTCTGGATGGAAGATTTTCCACTTCTTCTCAGTCCCATTAGCAGGATCCTGGGTTTGACATCCGTGCAGTAATCATCACTGAAGTGCATTACTAAAAGGAAAAATTTTAAAAGAAGTTTCAAAAACTTATAGAAGTATTCTTGTCGGATGGTGAGTAATTTAACCACACCTTTAATTCTGCAGGGAATAACACATTCATTACACTTTCACCTGCTCACAGTCTTTCCATGGGCATTTGCACTAACATTTATGGTGCTTCAAAATGTACAACAGCATTGCACCCACTTCAAGAGCACGTAATTGTATAAAACCTGACACAATCAACTAAAACAATTGTTTAAGACAGAGTATAAACCAGTAATTTAGCATACTTCATTCAATTCCAAATGATATATGGAAAGCAAACTACAAATTGAAAGAGGAAGTGTTGAATCGATAGAGAGATAAAAGAGATATGAAAAGAAAGGAAAACATTATATTTTATACATATTATTTCATAACAGTTATTAAACACAATTAAAAATTGGAAGAAAGGGCCTCCACATTGGTTAAGGTTAATTTTCAGAGTAAGATTATTGTGCCATTACATCAGATTTCTGGTAAGATGGCAGTGGAGCAGAGTTTCTGAGCCCGGGGCTCATCTGCTCTGTCCACTTCTTTATTGCATTTCTTTTCTTTTTTTCTCTCTCTTCCATTTTTTTTTCTCTTTATTTTGTTTTACTTACCTCTTGGTGAAGAGCTCAGTTGCAGCAATGGCATTGGCAGCAGCAAGTGGGCCCAGAAGCATGAACTCGAGTAGGCCCAGCGGCGCAGACTTGTGGCAGCAACATCGGAGGCCAATTTGGATTCCCAGCAGCTCCTGCATCGACAAGGCCGTCCTCGTGCTGACTCATGGCTGCCGCTGCAGAGGCAAGTTTGGGTTCCCAGCAGGGTCTGCTTCCAGTGCAGATTCATGGTCGAGGCCATGGCGGAGGTGAGTCTGGGCCCAGTACAAAACCCAACAGCTGCATCATCAAGGTGGGCCTGAAGCGGACTCATGGCAACAGCAAAGTCAAGTTTCAGCTGGTTCAGTGTCTGACAGCATTGGTGGCGAGGCCCAGCAAGGACTCATAGTGGTGAGGGTATCGGTGATGGTGAGATGGCACCAAAGAATAACGACTTTTGTTTCAGTGGTGATGCGACGAAGGGGGCTCGTGCTGGGCCAGCAGGCCCATGGCCCGTGATGGAGCACTTAACAAGAAGAAGTGTAAAGTTGGACACTTTCTTTAATTCTTCATTTTCGTGCCTTTATATTCTATGTTTTGGTTTATTTTTCTGTGTTTAAACATGGCACCAAAGAGTGGCAACACTATACAACATTTTTCATTGTATTTTGTAACAAGCGGCACGTGACAATAAGTCAATCAAATTAAATAAATTTTAACTCTCTGCTCATTACTTCAGTGTAGTTTCCAGCCATTATGTCTCCACAGATATGGTAGGAACAATATTCTATCCTTTCAGGTCTGAATTAGGACACAATTTAAGCCCATTTCTTAATATAATCTTTTATATTGTAATCCAGACACTTTTCCTGAAATTGTTGTTTATTACTAAAATAAACAGCACTGTATCTCACAATAATCTCCTTCAGTTGTGAATTTCAAAGTAAATTTATGATGGGGTTGAAGGTGGGGATTAATTAAATCCAATAAATGGCTTGCCTGCCACCAGCCACCAGTCTATGCCCCAACTGCAATTATACCAGTAGCAGAGATGACTATGATCATTCCACGTGCCAGTGATTCAACTGAGGCTCTTATGTGGGCAACTAATCACCACAAGCACCTCTTACTGTCACTATGATTTAACTAAACAGCAGAATAAGCCCACACCAAGCACACAGCCCAGCATGTTTTCCTGCCTGCAATGATGGTTAGGTAAGTTCTCTCCTTAACAGTTCCCTAAAAGCATTAGCCCCAACCATGCTCTCCTCCCTGTAAGGCCTCTCAAACCACAGCTTCCCAGCCATTTTGCTCCGCTCAGGAGATCTGTCAATACTAAGCGAGACCCCAGTACACTTATTCAAATGCTGATCCAGTTCTACACACCTCTAACTCCAAGTTTTGGCAGGCTGCCAGCCTCTGGTGGGCTAAAAGTCCTCCTCTGTGGTGGGACTTCCTGCCCTGGAGTATAGAAATACCGCCAAGAATTAATGGCCAACTTAAGCAAACAATTATAGTCTTGATCTTTAATCCAAAGACTTTTCCTGAAGTTATTGTTTAAAAACATTTGCATGCCAATAAGATGAGTACTTCAAGACAGATCGATAGCTGAAATTCATGCTGTCTTTTAGACAAGGAGCAGGGAGTCCAATACTTCACATAATTCAGCTCCCGGTTTCTTTGGTTTGTTTGATCTTTTTCACTTTTAGCAATCCACTTAAATAAGAATGTAGACTCATAGCCTGCAAATTCTTTCTGATTAAAATATTGGAAATTATTTTGTTTGCAGCATTCATATTTCTGTGTGTTATAATCCAGAAAGTCCATTGGTGTAAGATAGAATTGGACCCAGTCTTTGCTCACATTTATAAGAACTTACAGAGTTATGCATTATAAGCATGAACCTCCGAACATAAACATCACAGATTTAACTGGTGTCATTTATAGCAGCACAAGTGAAATACCAGTTAATACATAGTACCTGCATACAATTAAACACAATTAATATATGACTGAGACACATTGGGGTTCTTGTGGTGCAATGGTAGTGCCCTATCTCTGAGTCAGAAGGCCCAGATTCAAGTCATTATCTACTCCAGAAGTGTGTGCTAACATCTCTGAACAGGTTGACGAGAAAATATCTACAACTGACACACTGCCAAGGCTAAAAAAAAGTAAATATTCTCCAAGATTGCAATCCAATTATTGTTGGAAGCAAGTCAATACAGTGTGGAGCTGGAGGAACACAGCAGGAGAGGCAGCAGCAGATGAGCAGGAAAGTCGACATTTTGGGTTTACACCCTTCATCAGGACTGGGGAGGGGGAAGGGAGCTGGGAAATAAATAGAGGGAGGAGGGCTGGGGCTGGGGGAAGGTAGGTGCGATGGTGATAGGTAGATGCAGGTAAGGGGTAGCGGAGATTGGTCAGTGCGAAGGGTGGGGTGGATAGGTGAGAAAAAAGATGGACAGGTTGTGTCAGGTCAAGGAGGCAGGGATGAGAGGGAGAGTTGGACATGGGATGAGGCCAGGGGTGGGGAGATTTTGAAACTGGTGAATTCTATGTTGAGGCCATCAGGCTGTAGGCTCCCGAGACGAAATATGAGGTGTTGTTTCTCTAGTTTGCATGTGCCGTCATTGTGATACCGGAAGAGGCCCAGGACGGACATGTTGGAAACAAGCCCAGTTGACCAAGAGCTCACTTACTATAATCCCTAAGATACTGATTATAGGCTTATATTGAAGGTTTTACTTCTTCTGTTGGGACCATAGAAATCTTTAGAAATGGAAGGTTTGGAAGAAGAATCTGTTAAGGCATGAACTATGTTGATAGTGCCAGTAGCAGTAGGAGCAGAGAGTCTTTATCATGGAAACACAGAATGGTCACTGCACTAAGGTGTGCCATTTGTTATATTCTATCGTCTGTCTGCAAGAGCCATTCAGCGAGATTCCACACCACTTTCTTTTTCCCTACAGTCTGGAAAATCTCTCTCTTCAGATAATTACCCAATTATTTGTCTCCTCAACACATTAAGGCAGTGCTTTCCAGATCCTAAAGATAGGCTGTAAATAAAGCTTTTTTTCATGTCACTATTGGTTCGCTCAGCATTCAATTCATATATGTATTTTTCTAGTTTATGACCCTTCCACCAATGGGAACAGTCTCTCCCAACCCACTCAGTCAAAACCTCTCATGAGTTTGAACACCTCAATTAAATCTCCTTCCAATTTAGATATCCTGTGATGAACCTAACACTTTGCAACAAGTCTGTATTTTCTTTTTATTTGAAGACCCCTTTAAACCCCAAAGTGAAACTGAGTTCTGGGAGGAAATGTTAACGACGTTCCTGACAATGTTCCAGAGGTGGCAACGGCCCAGTGATGTTATCGCTGGACTATTGAATCAGAAACTCATAATGTTCTGGGAAGTTAAGTTCAAATCCTACCATGGCAGCATTTATTGAATTTCACAATATCTGAAATGAAGAGTCAAATGACAACTGTGATGTTCATTGTTGGAAAATCCTATCTGGTTCACAAATGTCCATCAGAGAAGAAAACCTGCCATTCTTACCTGGTCTGGCCTATATGTGGCTTCAGACCCACAACGTGGTTGACTTTCAAATGCCCTCTGAAATGGCCTAGTAAGCCAGTCAGTTACATTAATCAATAGAAGGTTTCAAAAAAGGAATGAAACTAAACTGACCACCTGGCACTGACCTGGGAATGGAAGTAATAATAGCGAACGCAGTCCTGTCAACCCTTCAAAGTCCTCCTTATTAAGATCTGGGGCTAGTGCCAAAATTGGGAAAGCTATCTCACAGACCAGTCAAGCAACAGGCTGATATAGTCATACTCACTGAATCATACCTTACAGGCAATGTCCGAGAACGCCACCATCACCATCCCTGAATATGTCCTGTCCCACAGCAAAACAGACCCGGCACAATGCGATATAGTCAGGATGGAGTTGCCCTGAGAATCCTCAAAATTGACTCCTGATGCCACTAAGCCTCATGCCTTCAGGTCAGACATGGATAAGGAAACCTTCTGTTGATTTCCACGTACTGTCCTTCCTTGGCTGATGAATCTGCGCTCTTCCATGTTGAATAACACTTACAGGAAGCACTGAGGGTGGCAAGGGCACAAAATGTTCTGTGGTTGGGGAATTCCAATGTCCATCATCAAGAAAGTCTTGTCAGCAGCACTACTGATCAAGCTGGCTAAGTCGTAAAGGACACTGACAATTGATTAGGTCTGTGGCAGGTTGTGAGGGAACCAACAACAGGGAAAATCATACCTGACCTCATCCTCACCAATCCACCTGCCACAAATGCATCTGTCTATGATAGTATTGGTAACAGTGACCAGCACACACTCCTTGTGAAGAAAAAGTTCCACCTTCACCTTGATGCCATCTTAAATTGTGTTATGTGGCACTTTCAACCATGCTTACGACCAAAACTCTACCTTCTGACCTACACCCAATAACCTTGGACTCCCTAGTTAGTCAAGAAATTAACTCTGCATAAAAATATTCAACAGCCCTGCCTTCATAGTTGTCTGAGGCAAAAGAGTTCTAAAGACATGGCACCCTCTGAGAGAAAAAAGATTCTCCTAATCTGTGTCCTAAATGGGTAACCCCTTATAAACAGTATTCCTTAGTTCACTAACTCTATTTCTCAATTTTAACTTTTGTTTTTCTGTCTGACTCTCTTGGAGGCATTTCACTCAGGTACTCATTCACCACTAGAACACGAGTAGATTATCTGTCAAAAGGTTTAACCAAGTTAACTACCGTAATACTTTCATAGCTGCCTCTCACTTTGCCCTCTCGACAAAGTTGAGCTAATTCAAAACTCTGCTGCCCATATCCTAATTCAGAGCAAGTTAGTCCACCCATTACCCTGTGCTTGCTGACTTACATAGATTACTAGTTCTGCAGCACTTCAATTTTAAAATTCTCATCCTTGATTTCAAATTCCACCATGCATGCCCCTCCTCATCATTTTTAAGGTAGTCCTCCAGCCTGACAATTCTCCAAGATTTCTGAGTTCCTCCAAATCTGGCTTCATGCATGTCTTCAATTTTCATCACACCTCTGGCAACTGTGCCTTCAGCCACCTTAGCTCTGAGCTATGGAATATTCTCCCTAAGCTCTGTACCAGGCCCCAAGATGTTTCTGAAAATCTACCCACTGTCTATCCTATCGTCTCTTCATGTAATGCTGCCAGCTGCTGTTTGATGACATTCCAAGAAAGCTCCTTAGATCGCTGCAGTATGGGACAGGTGCTGTATAAATGTAAGTTGTTATTGCATTTACCCAGTGCAAGTTTTTTATTGCATTTATTTGACATTAACTTGTATATGTTGCAAATAAGGTGGTGAAGTAGCAGAAACTAGGCTTGATTTTTGATTTTCCTCTCACAAGTCTAAAAGTCCTCTGTTTCCTAGGAAGGGGTGAGCGTGTTGGTGAAGTTGCATATCGGCAATGCAGCATATGACCAGTTTTTCCTTGGCTTACTGAGTTGGGCTAATTTGTCAAATTCACGGGAAAAAGGTTGCTGTCATCCCATCGTGGTTAAAATCATTAGTCAAAGGCAAATACCCAAGCACTGATACTATATTTAGGCAGACAAAATAGTAGCCAGTGAAGTTCAGCATTTGGTCTAGAGCTAACCTTTGACATCACTGATCCGTATAACTCCAAGCCACAGAACACAGGGACAAACCTGTAGCTGAGTCCCTAGTCCGTGCAGGATTTTGGCCTCGGCCGCAAGCATTCCTTAACAGCACTGCAAGAGGAAACGTGCGCTATTTTGATTGCTGCTGCAGTTTGAGGTGACAGCTTACCACCATCATCTCCCCAAGGTCAGTTAGAGTCCGGCACTAAATACTAACTCTTGCCATCGATGCTGACATTCCATGAATAAAATACCTCCACTCCCCACCCCCCTCACTCCCCCCAAAAAAGCAGGGATGCGAAAATTTAGCTAAGATTCCTCCTCTTTGTTACTCTTCTACCGAGAAGCATCTCAGGACATCGGTTAAGATTAGGCATATTCTCCACTGTCAGGATCGAAAAGTGTGATACAGTACTTATCGAAGGAGAATGGTCTCTTCGGGATAACTGGTCCCTTGGAAAGCTGCAAAGAAAATTGGTAGATAAACACTGTCTAAGTCCTTAATGCAAAGCGTAGTAACTGAAATATATGCTCGATGTTAAATGATTTACTGATCCCGACTGCATGATCTTGATGGGGAGTACAATACTTAAATGTAACAGTAGTAGAGACACGAGTTGATTCTCAGAGGTCATTAGTTGGGTTGCTGATTGTCTGGTACATACCCTCGTCGGGTGCCACTGGGTTGTCGGGGTCACCATCCACCATGTCACATTCAGCTTCCCCTCCATAAGCGAACTCCAGTCCGATAGAGCCGCAGTCCTCCACCGCCAACTTATTCATTCTATGGCGTCTTACTTCCCAGCCAAGCCTTAGTTAGCAAACAACATTACTGAGCTTCACCGTCACCTGATAATGAGAAACCATGACGAACTTTCACCTCCTCTACAGAAAACATCCGGTGTCAGAACTGTAAAAGGGAGTGTCTTTCTAGCGGGGACTTCGAGTGGGTCTTTCAGACATCATTGCCACTTCACTGGCGTTAATCCTTCGCAAACAGTTGTATTTTAAAGCCAATTTTGCCACGGGTGGAGAAAATATTTTAATCAAAATGTGACAAACGTTTATATGTAGTGTAGTTGAATATATACACAATCTGTTCTGTCATTACTGTTACTGCGAACTGTTTGTTTTTCTGGGCTAGACTGTAAATGTTTTCTGAAAAAGTAATTCTACTCTCATTCTGTTATACGTAACGGTTCTCTCTCTCTTCAGGTGTTGTACCTTTCTCCTTTCAATCCGCGATGATCGCACTTAAAATAAAATCCTCGTTCCATTTGCCAGCATTTGGCTTGTATCCCTCTAAA